AAAAAAAAAAAAAAATGTTCGTTACGATCTCAATGCAAAATAGATAAAGACACACAGACACACACAGAGTTATTGATATCGTCACTTCCTTCCTTTCTTCTTCTTCTTGTTACTACTGTTTCTGTTGAATCCCCAATTGCTGTAGGGTTACTCGTGGTGGAGCCTTTGCGAGGGGGACGCGGCCGTGCCACTGGGCCCTGGCGATCAACCGCCGCAGCGGCGCCGCCGTCGAGCGCTCAAAATTCGCCAAATTTAAAACCGACAGCCCGTCGCCTCCGCCGTACCACTGCAGCAATTGACGGCGGTGCTCCGGCGTGAGGGCCTCAAAGGCGGTGACGGTGAGAAAGAGACGGGGCACTGTTTTTCCCACACGTGTGCGGCCCATCATCTCAACACTGCCGCCGACAAAGTGATAGAGTTCATCCGCACAGAGACGGAGCACAAGGCGATAGTCATTGTGTAAATGTCGTTCAAAGCGGGCTGCCTCGGCTGGGCTTTCGAACTGCAGACATTCCACCGCCCATGCACAGATACCACCTCGTCCACACCAACCTAACATATCCATTGGGATGATGACTTCATCTTCTCCTTCTTGTGCTTCTCCTCCAGGGTTTATTAGAGTTTTACTATTATTATTGTTGTTCTGGATAATGCTGATGCTGTTTTTATTACTGTGTTGCCGAGGGGATTCTGCTTTTTTTGGTAATACTGCCGAGAAGCGAAATCGACGCTCTGGAGGGATATCAAGACAATCGGGTGAACATAAACGAGCGAGAACATCAGAATCTACGGAACGCAGTGCGTATATAAACCGTCCATCATGTGATAAAGCAATATCCATACATCCTCGTAAATACTTACCTGTTGATTGAAACTCTTCACGAAGATCAAATACTTTTACTGTAGGTTCACTATTGACACCCTGTGTTGAACTTTTTATATGTTTAAGGGGATACAATAATTGACGATTGGGTAATCGATGGGCCAATAGAGGTGGAAGAGGATAGAGAATAGCCACATGATGTGATATTTGTGCTGATGGGCCAGTAGGTTTGAAAAAAGTATGCAGAGATATTCCACAGGCAATAAAGGCATTTCCAACATCATATAGATTATTATTATTATTATATCGTAACTGTCTCTTTTCTTTCTTCATAGAGAGAGAAGATACAATAAGTCCATGTACTGTACGAAGTTTATTCACCAATCGAGTGAGATCCCGTAAACATGCAATCTGTTGATCTCGCTGTAAATCAAACATTGGCTCAACAACCTCACTTACAGATGTCATTGGATATGAAAGAGATGATGAGATTGATAAACGTGGAAGAGAGGAAGTACTCATCAAAGATGTATTACTTTTCTGATTTTTTTGAGGTTCTACTTTAGAACTGTAATTATCAACTAAGTTTAATTCTTTCATTTTTCCCTCATTTGATCGTTTATGTGGCGTACGAATAGCAGGGACAACAACTCCAGTAGGAGAAGGAGAAGGAGAAGGAGAAGGAGAAGGAGGAGGATAATCAAATTGAGACTTATTCGTATCATTCCTACTTTCGTTTATCCATTCATTCTCATCTATATTATCATTATCACAATCATTACAATCATAGGATTCCTCTTCCTCCTCCTCATCATCACTATCACCGCTTCCAGAATGATGAATAATCTCGTGGATATCAAACCGGCCACTTTGACGTAAGCGACGGCATTGTTTTTGGAGTTCCCGTATAAAACGTTCGGAATCACTCAATTTCGCTTTTAGAGACTCTATTGTCTCTCGCTCTAATTTCAATTCATGTTGGAGAAGTGTATTGGTCTCATGAAGGTGATGAACAGTCTGCGTAGAGTCTGTCTCTTCTGGACTTATACCCCTCCTCTTCTTCCTCTCCATAGTAACAAGAGCAGGTGTATTAACATTCATACTATTATTATTATTAGTAGTAGAGTTTAAACTTGAGGTTTGATCTATTTGCAGCGGCTGAGGATTTTGTTTCTCTTGCAAGGCGAGTTCCAACATGATATTTTCCCCTCGCAACTCCTCAAGTCTGCGGAGTACCATTGTTAACTCATCTGCACGAGATACGTCATTCCCTTCTACATACATACAAGAGAGAGATTCACCCGTATGCATACTATCACTACTAATAGTATTCGTATTCATAGTAGGAATCATATTTTTTCCATTCGTATTCTTTTGATTTGCATATTTTTCACGTGAGAGTAACTCCACTGTTGTACGTAAGTTTTTAATAGTCTCCTTAAGTGAAGCAACTTCATTAGACGTTGTGTTATTATTATTATTATTATTCCCTTCCTGCGGTGTGTCACTGTCTCTCCGGAGAGGAACTACACTTGCAAGTATATTCCCCAACACTTGGGTGATATTATCTATATGAACACTCTCAGCTATTTTATACACTTCCGTAGAGTATTCTTCAGATTGTATACGTCCTGCGAACTTCTTCACTTCACTACATATATTTTGAAGTATCATATCACGTTTTTGAATCTCACTCTGCGCCTTTGCCTCTTGCCATGCCACTTGTCTCGTTAACATCAATGCAGATCGACGGAGTTCCTGTAGTACTCGTGTAGTATACGTTTCAGGTATAGAATATTGTAATTCCTCTTCTTTTTTTTCTTTTTCTTTTCCTTTTTCTTGTTGTTCAGTATTATCATTATTATTATTACTATCACTATTACTATTCTTATCCTGTACTGTATCTCTTTCACGTTTGGGAACCCGCAACTGACACTCTGACGCCACTGATGCTGCCATCTCATCTATTCCATGTAAAAGTTTCTGTAATTGCATTGTGTATTCCTTTTCCTCTGAGAGTCTTCGCTTGTTGCTTTTCAACGCATGTTCCGTATCCCGTTGTTTCTCTGTCATTTTGTATAGACGCGTACGGAGTTCATCCATTTGTTGGACTGCCAACTGCATCACCTTAAGTGGATAGTTTACACGTATACTTTTGCGAAATACATTCGGACTGTTTTGTTTGTGTTCGTCTATATCTGATAGATCTCTCTCTTCTTCCTCCTCTGGTATATCTAAATCCAATGTGTAACTAAGAACTTCTGCCTCATCACAGATACGATGAAGATCTTGTCGTAATTGTGAAATACGTTTACGTAAAAGACAATCATGTTCTTCATTACCAGTGGAGCATATAGGAATAATGGAAAACTCACTCGTACTAGTATGAATACCTGTATGAATGTCCTCAAGTGAAATTGTTTTCTCATCACGCATTAAAAAAAATCGTTCAGAAATAAGTTTAGCCCAAATTGTGAGACGTTCCTGTGTCTCCTGTAATCCCAAATACTCCCGTTCAAACAATTCCTCTTGTACAAGTGAAAAAAGATCCATTCGCTTCATTGTTCCTCCCTCCTTTCCCGTTGTTATTATTTCTTTTCTCATTATTATTGTTGTTGAAGGTGATGAAGGTATATGAATGTTTCTCTCGAATCGTTCTTCCAGGTGTGCAAGACGAGAGATACGATGTTGCAACACCGCCTCCTGCATTGCAAGAGCCTCGGCTTTATTTCTCAACAATAATTTTGTCTGTCGCGCCTCCATTACACTTCTCCACTTTACCAAAGCCACATATTCCATTTGACATTCTAATAAAAGCAGCATACGTTGATATTGTTCTTCTTCTTGAATAGATGGCGGTGTGGGGGCGTTGGGCCTTGCAGAGATTCCACACATCTCTCTTGCTGTGCCTGTCAACTCCAGTGTGAAATCCATGGAAGTGTGCGTGAGGGAAGAGCGGCAGTCCGACGCTCCTCGGCAAGTGGGCAGTGGGGCCGGCAACACTACTAATACTTCACTCATCACGAATAAATATTATTTTATTCTTTTCTTTTTTTTCTTTTCTTTTCTTTTCTTCCCTCCTCTCTATTATTATTTCTAAATAGAAGAGGTGACCAGCAGTATTATTATACCCACTAGTTGATAGTAATAGTGATGGTCAATCGTACTTGGGAATAAAGTTCTTTTTCGTTTCCAAAAACTTGGAAACTCCCGATAAATGTTTGCGCACAGGCGGAGAAGAGCGCCTTATCAAATGATAAACTCTAATTAGTCACTAGACAAAATAAAAACAAATAAATAAATAAATAAGTAAATAAATAAATAAATAAATAAGTGTAGTACTGAAGAAATAACAGAAAAAAAAACAGAAACAATGGGGAACTCCAGCATCACTCTTCATCTACACAAACGACATCGAAACAGGAAGGACAACACTAAAAAGAAAAAAAGAAACCAATAGTAAATAAAGAGGATAAAGAAACTTCATTTCTCGCCACTATACCACCATAGCGGCCGACTATTAACGGTAATGAAAAAAAAAAAGAAAAAGAACAACTCTCTTACTCTATCACTTTATATATCTCACTCAACTCAACTCAACTCAACTATAATCAATCACTCACTCCAATTCCAAGAAAGGAGAGAATCCCGTAACGGATGGGCGGCGGCACTTCGCATCCATGTGTAATCGCAGACACCATCATTGAGGCCGCAGAGTACCCACAAACACTTTCAATCATCGATAAATCCGGTATTATACATCCTCCTCCACTATTACTATTATTACTGTCATTATTATTATTATTATTATTATTATTATTATTATTATTATTATACCAGGCCGTCAATACAGCGCGGTTGTGTTCCGACAGGGAACGAAAGGCGCGGGCAGAAATAATAATACATCGCCGCCGCAGTGAAACTCCACCAATGATTGGATGTGAAATAACTTCCACACATTCCCCCGCAAAGTTCAGCACCTCCGATCGTGTGAGGTGAATCACCGTTTTGTATATTTCACCGAGATGATGAATAAACCGCTGTCGCTCTGCAGGAGATGTAAAGGTAATCTCATCTAACGCCCATGCAGAAATCCCAGCGGCTGTCCATCCAACACTTAATGGTATGGATGTGTAATAACAAAAACAATGTGTAGATGCCATTTGAAGACCTTCTCGCAGTAAATCCACAATACGCAGGAGAACCACACGTTTGGTTTCATCTACACTATTATTAATGTCGCCTAAACAAACATACATGAAGGAACCATCTGCTGAGAAACGAACAGCATTAGCAGAAAGGTACACATCACTCTTAGTATTTCCACAAGTACCACTATTACCTTTACTAGTAGTAGTAGTAGTAGTAGTAGTAGTAGTAGAAGAAGAAGATAAATCAACGATTTTAAGTTTACCATGACTTTCTTTCGCCTTGGTTAACAACAATTTTTCTAAATATTCTTTTGGTAACTCATTCTGACGATCTGGTGGTAATGGATAAAAGACAACAGCATATCTACTAGGTTGAGTATTCTCTGTATTCATCCACTGATGTAAAGAGAGACTGTGTCCCACAAAGAGAGGAAGTGACCTTCGTGTGTATAAATCAATATTAGGTTTTTCAGACGGACGCAATAAGATGGTGTTTATACCTTTCAGAGATTTCATCGTTAAGAAAAAACGTCTTTGTTCTTGAAGCATCGTTTGTTGTACTTCGTAACTATAAGATTCCATTGAAAACCCTTCAACTAGATCCGCAGCATGAATTCCAGTAAAATGATTCGATATAGCTTTTGATTCTTCTTCTTGTTGAGATGAATGTTGTTTCTCTTGTTGTTGGTCCTTATATAAAGCTACCTGTCGTTGCAGGTGATAACATTCCTCTCGTGTTTCCTCCAATCGATGTAAAGCTAAAGTGAGAGGATCAAAGCCATTGTAGGAGTGTTCTGATATAGGAATAGGAGGACTATTTACCATTAACGGCCTTGATTGTAAGGCACTTATCTTTTCTTGTATAGAAGCAATTAATAATGTTGGGGTACACATACGAGCATGCGTAGCCCGTATTGCTGCTTGAGTACTTCCTCTGTTATCTTCACAGCGCATTTCAACTTGTGTATATGCAGCCAATGTATTTAATGATCGACATACACTATTTAATTCATTTTGTGTTTCCTGTAGTTTTTTATTCTGTTCTTCTAATACCCGCATAACCGCCTGTAGTCTATCCTGTGCAGACTTTTCTGCTGCTTGTGCTTCTCTCACAGCTGGTGTATACATGAACGCAAGACGTTTTTTTAAATCTTCTATGAGTTGTTCTTCTAACTCCTGTGGACTTACACGTTGTTGTTTATTATTATTATTATTATTATTATTATTATTATTATTATTATTATTANATACAAATAGATATACAAATATAGACGGATAGATAAATAGATACAGTAAGAGATTAGAGCCCATGACTAGAGGCGTTGCTCCTCACCCGCTCGGCAATATCGTTGAGTTGCAGCACATGTGTTGAGATCTGCCGGAGGTGATCGCCAATGGCGGTGAATTCACTTTCCAACATTTTGAAGTGCCGGGCCACATCTTGAAAGGGCCGATCGGCAAATCCCGCCTCACTACTCCACGGCGGCGGGCCGTCCTCCTGCAGTGGAGATCCCCCAGCGGAATTATTCCCGCCCATTTGAGTGGTGTGAGGGCCATCGTCCTCACGACTGGGTGTGGGATCGTCTACAAAACTATCTTGTCGTGAATTCGCAATGGAATCCCTACCGGGGAATTTACTGAAATTGGTACTTCTATCACCAGCATTATTATTGCTCATATTATTATTATTATTGTTATTATTATTATTATTATTATTATTATTATTATTATTATTATTATTATTATTAGACATACGCTGTTCCAAGTGAAGAAGACGTTGTAGTCTATACTTTGATAACTCTTCCATCATGATGAGATGAGACTCTCGCTGTTGCTGATCAAACTGTCTAAATGCAATGAAATCTCTTGTAATGCAATTCATGCGGATTTGACTCTCATCAAGAGTAATGAACTCGCGTAGAATTGTTTCCAACTCCAGCATCTCATGTATGGAATGGATCACATGATAGTGTTTTCTCCATCCATTTTCTACAAAATTACGGATCCACTCATATAAGGCAATATGAGTATATGGATTCTCTCCTCTTGCTGGTATGGTTTTAGTAGTAGGGGTAATTATGGTATTAGCCCTGTAATAAGATGGAAAATACGTTTCATCTTCAGAAGGATGAAAAGAGGAATAGGGCTCTACAAAGATGACATCACTCATGTTGTTTGCTTTCTCCATATATATATATATA